TCTTAAGTCATTAACTCATTCTTACTCAAATATCATGTCATTGCCACGTTAGAGGAAAAATGGTCCAATCTGGACCAATAAAGGTGACTAACTGCTGTTGAGTAGGCATGGGTTAACGAGTTAGGGACATACATGATTAAGTCAATTTTGGGTCAAAACCCTCAAAGACAACAAATTCAAAAACTAAATGACAGACATTGTTTGTTGAGAGGCTGAAACCCTCAATAATGACAAGTTGGAGGGGGCACAGGCGTTAAGCCATTTGTTTCTTTCTTTTGTTGAATTTTTTTCCGAGCTCAATAAATAATTCGATAAACAAATATTTTTTTTCCCTTATTTCAAAATATGGTTAACTAACATGTTAACTAATCAATTAATATAAACTAGATCAAATTTTGCAATTTTTCTTTTGCAATACCTCAATGTGACATAAGGAGTTGCAAAATCCCTTTTTTTTTTTTTTTTAATAAGGTTAAAATCATTTAATTTGCCTTTTTTGACCCTACATTTAGAAAGCCCTTGTTAATGATCCTTTACTCCGACAACATCTAAGGCTTTTCGAACAACGTGATATCTCACACCGGGTAAATTCTTAACCCTTCCCCTCTTACTAAGACTACATAATGTTTTTATGAATTATAACCAGCACCAGGTATAAAAGCAATGATTTCAAACCCATAAGTTAATTGTATATGAAGATAATAAAAGATAAAAATATTTACAATTACATCACAACATGAATTTTTATAAATGAGAAATGACATAACATGAAACACGCAAAATATGGATTCACAATTTTGTCACTGTTTACTGTAAACATTTTTTTTTTTAATGGTAGCTATAAACAACTTTAATAGTTTATGCATGTTACTTTTCCATAGAAATTAAATAAAAATTAAAGTTAGTTGAATTAAATATTTGGATACTCATGCGTTATGAGAGAGAGAGGGAAAAAATAAAAAAACAAAAAGAACGTTTTCCTCGCATGCATGATGAAACCCTGCAATCAAAACTAGTGGCAGAGCTGATCAGCGAGTGGAGAAGAAAGTGACCCACAAAATAAAATCAAATCATCTTTCAACATCGGAGACCAGCCAATGGCCATGAATGCCAGCAGCTTGAATTTCCAGAAGATCTTTTCCCTGGTAGTGTGTATCCATCATTTAGTCTCTACTGGTCATTCGATTAGAAGAGACAAATATATGAAAAAAAAAAAAAAATCACATGCCACCTTAAAGGAATTCTAAGATCAAGTATTAGTTTATTTAACAAAGGTACCTAATAGACTTGGAGAACATTGTCAGAAACTGAAACATATTTAAGTTGTTAACAACCTGGTTGCGATCACACTATCAAATGCCTATGTGGTATTGAGTTAATTTCATCTATTGAATCAGTTGCTTCTTTTCTGTAATGAGGTTAATATACCTGTTCAGGGTTTTAGAGAGGGCGCCAATCCAAACTTGGGAGTCTTCTCTAAGGCCTTGGCATCGAAGGCACCAGAAATTGGGAGGAAGGACTTTGGTCTGAGCTCATGTTGTATGAGTGCACCAAGATTGTCATGGTTGTTGAGCTTTGCCTTCACCACTGTGTGAGGATCAACGTTGTATGAACATCCCACTGTCAATGTGCTCTCATTTTTGGAGATCTTCCTTGCAACCTCCCCTACCACAGCTCCTCCATTCAGTTGATCAAGATGGTGCAAGTAAGAGACTTTTAGGGAATCTCCCTGTCAGCCCTACAAGAAAAGAAAAAGATAATTTAACTTGTTGCAAACATTAGTATTAAAATTAACATAACATTTTTGTTCTTTTATATG